TCTGAATGTGAGATCAATACAGAAAATACACAACCTCAAAGTGTACAACCAGACCTGAAGGCACTTTTGCATCAACATGTGTGTCTACTTGTATCACCATGACAACCACAGAATGTGCTGCCTATTTGGAAGACACCCAAATTGGATTTGTCAGAGTTTAAATTGAGTGCGACAAATTGCTCAGTGAATGTGTGTGAGGCTGTGTGTTTGTATCACACACAAGAGGAGCGGTAGTGTAGCGGTTAGCGCACTGCGCTAAGAACCCGAAGACCCGAGTTCGATTTCCGCTCACGGCCAACACCAGTGACGATTATCTGAACCGGTCCTGGGTCTCCCCTAGGTCGACTCAGCCTCACATGAGTATCTGGTGCAGTATGTAAACATCGCCACTGGGGAGACAAAGGCGGTCGGGCGTGGTGCTGGCCACCCACTCCCTCGTGTGTTGTTCCGGCCTTCATAGGTGCTCACTAACAGCACTTGCCCCAACAGTCTGTTAAGGCTATACGGGGGATCTTTGTCTTTTTTGTATTACACAGCAGACAAGCATTGCATCTCCTACTAAAGCGTTAACCACGTTTTGTGTGCCATGCACAGAAGAGTCCATCATTGCAAATTTAATACTGTGTCACAGCAAGACTGTGCATACATCCATTAAGACAAATAACTGAAATCATAATTTAAAAAATGTAAATTCATCAATGTGCTAAAAAAACTGTGGTCATCCATCAAGTTTGGATACACATTTCGAGCATTGAAGAGATTGCATTTAACTATTGTGAACAGCCCATGGCCAAATCACCCCGAATGTACCTTATCCCTTCAGATCTCTTGGCCCATGGCACTAAGTCATTTTGACCGGGCAGATAATGGCATGGGCCTTCATACCTCTTTGAAAAAAAATGTAAGTTCAAAACAAGGTTTGCGGCTCTGCTCCTTCATTCACGTGCTGGGACATACACTGGAACCTACTGATAGGTTTCCATATCTGAGTCGTGACGTAGTTTCCTCCGTGTACTGTTCCACCATGATCCATCAACACATCAGCATTGCATCTTCCATCATGGCACAACTCAGTCATGTATGGAAGCAAAAACGGCTGAGCCTAGCAACTTAACGTTGCACTGAAAACACCTGCATTGTTTCCGTGATGTTGTATGGGAAGGAAACCTGTACTATGCTGAAAACTCACTCAGACACCATACGGACTTTCCATATGCAATGCCAGTATTACATCTTTGGCATTCACTGTTTCGATTTTGTACGCACCAAGATGATGGCTGAGCACGCCGGCCTGATAGCCGCGAGGTGGCTGGCTCTGTTTGGACTTGTGAGACGGATGTCTGTCATCACATCGGCTCGTGTCTCTCTCGACCGTCTGTTGTTGCTACCCGACAATTGCACAAGACCTGGGGAGTCGCGAATGGACAAAAAACTGGCGGCGGCAGGTCGAGACAGATTTTGCAGCTTCGATTGAGGGCGCTTGGAAGGCTGCGGTGGATCGGTCAACACGGAGGGCGCCTTCGAACGACGTCCCGGTCAAGCGTATCAGTGAGCGAGTGAGAGCCAATGGTTCTCAGTGGTCGACATAGTCCACAGTTGGGTACATCACTCAACAATCTGATAGTGGGATGGACTGGGGTGACAACGAGTCAAGGTCGAGATGTTGAAGAGTAGAGCTGTCACGGATTGTGGCTCCACACAATGCCCACTTGGACGCTACGTCAGTCCCGACTGCGCGATTTCCCCTCGTTACACTTGAGTGGCACAGCTGTTCACATTATAATTACAAAGTAGGGAGCTAATCCTATTTGTTTCAACCAACCTTTAGTCATGCACTGTGTACATGTGGTGATTTTCAATTAATGCCTCTGTTCTATTGCCGATCACTACACCACCACGTTGCGAGTTGGTGTTTTATTTCTCGGACGACGCCTCTTGCGATTTGCAATGCACATCTGGCATAATTGCTGTTTCAGAAGCAAATGACGTTGTTGGATTGGATGGCAGACTATATTTCTATGGATGGATAGTTGTGTGTGCTCAGCACATGCTACTGAAACTGTATATTCCCTTCAGCAGTTCATCCTCTGCATTAATCCAGTACCAAATCGTGCTTTGTGCAGCCATATGGCTCTGTAAAAACTACAGTACATGCGCATTCCATAAAGCATGTAAAATCACGTCAACACATGCAGCTGGTCCATAGGTAAATATTATTCAAGTGTATTCTACTATCTGAAGACTGCTAAAACCATGGGTACAATAGCGATTGTTGAAGCTTGCTCATTATCAATCACAAGAGCTAATTATTCATAAATAGAATACTAACATTATAAATGCATATTAAAATAAACATGGTTAATCAATGCATTAATTAATATTAACTGTCCCTACAACACAAATCTTATCTTAGGATAAAACGATAACTGGCTTAAGGGTTTGATGGAGAAGTTGAGAGGAGAAAATTGATATTTTTTGGAAGGAAATACTTTCTTGTTTTAATTCGCAAGCATACCTGCTAACCCCTTAACAGTGCCTACCTTATTACAGACCCATTTAGACCTTATTGGTCACCCAACGTTCATCCTACAAAGTCCCATCACAAGGGAGAAACACATATAATTTTTTTTGCTGTATTGAAATGGCTGTACACCGTATGGATTTGAAAACTCAATTTCCCTGTATAAGAATACAGGTAAACCGTATGGGTTGACAGATATGCATAATTATTGATTGAATTAAAGTTTGAAGTCAAAATACACCAATAATTCAAAAGAGATGTTTCCACTTCAAAGCCCTGCAGACACTGAATGTGAACAATGCCCCCAAACGCTCATGAATGGACATTGCTGATTGGCTGAGGCTTGGTCAGACCACTTTGGAGCTCGCCGATTGGCCAAAATTGGCGGTCGCGTTCTCGTCATAAGCCCATCGTTAACAGGGAAATGGTCGGTAAGCGAACACATTGGGCTCTATCGATGCCCGTCATGAAGCCATTAGTCGTTAACAGGGGTGGTCGTTAAGAGGGGTTTTACTATACGCATATCAAACACTTTATTCATATACAGTATATTTACATTTCGTCAGCAAGTATGGTTCTTGTGTAATTGGACCATGAAACGCAGTCATTTATTTATTCATGACACGATCTTCAAATAAAACACGATGAGATCTGAATCATCCGACTCCTCATAGATTTTCACTTATCAACATGAATTTACAGCTCTGTACAGATTTAAGCAGATGACATTTTCATAACCATCCAAACCAACGTTTGCACCCACTGCTTAAAATTAATATCGACTGGTATCTGCATCTTCAAATAGAACTCCTAAATGCCATCTTTCACAATGGATTTAGAATTTGCCTTGTCACCATGGAACAATAACAGGTATTTTGAGATAGAGGATTTAGTTTCTTTAGCCTGCTAGAGGATTAATATTCGACAGGAATATAATCTGTGCTGCATCCACACAGAACTAAAACGAAAAATGTATGTCAATGATGAATTTACTTGGGATTATAGCTCCCAGGGGTGTGTGCTGTTGTGTTTATGATTGGAACTGTACATCTGTTTTATTTCGGCTATACGTAGGGCAATAGTTTGGTTTAAGGTTAAATTGTATTTTTGTAATGTAAATTACTTGTGACATTCCATTGTTCTACCACAGCAACCACCTACTGTGTGTTAAGAGAGTACCATATCGCTTGGTTGCTGTGGCCCTACATGTCAGACATTGTGCTGTAACTTTTATCTGTCATAACCAAAGGCATTCAGTATAAGGCCCCAGGCGTCCACATACTTATCACATAAACACGAACCACAGACTCCTATGAAAATTGGTGTTTGCCATATTTGAGCAACCTGCACAAAAAGTCAGGGGCACTCGACACTGAACTCTGTAAACAAAACCATTACAATAGAGCTCCAGCACTGTCCAGCACAAGTCATGAACAACATTAAGAAAAAAAATCAAATCAAAGGTTGGCTTTTGAAGCACTTTAAGTTTGGAACAATCTTTCCAAAATGTCAAATGCTCCCTATCAATTCCAATATGCTGTTTAACTGTCTGACAGCACCTGTCCATGATAGGAAGAGAGATGTGTTGCCCCTTGCAGAAAAAAAACTCTTTATGTGTTCACACCATTTGGCCTGGAAGAATTTTTGTATAGTGCCTTGTGAAATGTGCCGCAATCTTGTCATCACGCCTAGATTGCCTCAATGACTTTTAGGGACTTCTATCGACTCCTACAAATAACACAAGTTATTGAACGAAAGAGAAATGTACAAAAACGAGTTTGATCATCCGATACCTTTTGATACAACTTGATTTATCTTTACAAAGCCATTTTTTTTATTTTAGCAATGCTAAAAGTAATCTGGCCATAGTATTATAAAAATTACGACGTTATAATACAGTATAGATAGACACAGCACTTTGAAACAATTTAAAGTAATACATAACACTGTGTTGCATTAACAATTACTAAAGAAAGAAAATAATTTGACCTTTTAACGTGAATATTGTCCTCCATTTCATGCGTATTTAATCCCCATAGTATACATTATTAAACAAGCTCCTGTAGTTAGTATGAATTAGGTCATTACAATTATTCTCCAAAATTAATGCAAGAGCGGCCAAGAAATTCTTCCTTGCCCAAGTAATTTTAATTCCCTTGTCCTTTTTGCAAACTTCTGTGAATTATAAATGCTGATCATGGACTTTTCACGGAGTAAGGCATTACATTTAAGAAGTATTGCTTGTCATTGCTCGGCGCACACCTCCCAGGAGCTTGAATAATATATTCGAAGAGAGCCCCATTTGCAACCTCTATTCTGGCCCTTGAAACTTTAAGCAACCACAGATGCATGATGATTACAACAAATTAACCTTCTGACATGAGGTTGTTTTCTGCAGAGAAGCGTGAGTCGAGTACAATATTCAGAAGTGCAGAAAAATCTCAAATGTAAACAAATCTGTAGAAGTGCAAGCACTCACGGAGCTTGCGTTCCATCTCGTCACATCGCCGCACATCGTTCACAAATCTGCGCTGGAAGGTGTTGACTCCTGGGTTCAGCTGCACATGGGGAGAGAGAGAGAGAGAGAGGTGGAGGCATCATGAGAGAGGGTGAGAAAAGGAGAGAGTGAGATAGACTAAAGAGACATGATGGACATAAGGATGGAAGGGCACACAGCAAGACATAGGTGGACAGAGGCAAACCTCCATTTAGTTGCAAATCAAAAAAATAGATAGAAGATTTCACACCATACACATGCACTAAGTGTTGAATTCACACATGCTGGAAGCCAGAATGGCACACTTCACTGCTCTCTCAAATGACATCTCTGCTTAAGGTCTCCAAGCTGCATCACAGTAGTACAGACGCAGTGTCATTCGTTTGTCAGTCGTGAGAGATTGACTGCGATTTGAGCATTCAGAGGCAGCATTTTAAAAAGTCTCATACTTTGTGACACTCAAGTTTTTCAGCACAAGTAATGGTGTCAGGCCTGGCTAGACTGTGTTTACACATCTTGAAAGACCTCCTATGAAGGACAAGCCATAAATGTCTTATATGGCCCAAAGAATGACGATGAAGTCACGCATGGCTGATCTTTCATATTGTGGAAAGACAGTAAAGGATCCTATACCCCGGACGCTGGCTCAATGAACAACTAATTCTATTTTCCAAGTGCTGTAAATGAGATGTTGCTGTTATATAAAATTGATAACTTGTAAAATATGTGTAAGAGGTTCTTAAATGAAGTTTATTTTTGCTAAATAAATTACATAAATAAACCAGTTAATTTAAACGTGATAATTTATGACAGTTACCCTTTGACAATACCAACGCCAAAGATGTTATTAACGTTATGGCACTATTATTTGCTAACATTTCATGATACTTTCACAATTTACAAGGAATACTTAAATAGTCTGAGTCAGTGCCATAAACAGGATCATGCCAAGTGCCATCTCAACAATTATCAAGCCATGGTTGTGAAACCAGGCCACGTCAACAGCTGGTCAGGTTCTATAGATCAGCACTGGGAATCATGGCCAAAATGATCATCCCATCATATCTCATCTCACAATTTCTAAGACACTGCCAAGAAGCACATGTTTCATGCTGAAATAAAACTACCTTCAATCACGTATTATGCGTGCTCCCTTGTGCAACATTTTTTTCAAGATTGTGAAACTACTGTACCTTGTTAATACTGCAGCGCGATGTGACTGTCATACAAAGGTGAACACCAGCGTCACAGAACTGCAGGTGGGGTGGCACAGTTGAGGTTTTGAAACCATGGATCCAGATTTCTGGCGTCTTGATTTTTGTGTGTGTGTGGAAATGACAGCCGCTTTTTTACGTGGTAAATTCTGCATTTTTCGATTCATGTGTAACTGATTTCACACCACTACCCTTGCCACAATTGCAGAATGGCCCAAAACTGGCAAGGTTAGGCTCGGGCCAATGATGGCTTTGTGCAAGGAGTGCTGAGAGAGAATGGCAGTCAATTCCACATAAATTCACGTGTGTTTGATGCATTTTGTATTTTGACACAAAATATGGAGCTGTATTTTATTTCTCTAAACTTTGCAGAAAAGTGGTGGCATCAACGCACACACATGACAAATAAGAAAAATGTGATGATTAAAGACCGAAAAGATGATGATGGTGTTTTTATTATTGCTGATTGTTGACAATGCTCCGGCTGCTGCTGATGATGATGATAAAAATTAAGATAAAGAACGTCGAAGAGGTAGTGAGTCCTAAGACCCATTTTTTGAGTGTTTAGAGTGTGGGAGGAAACTGGAGTATGTAGAGAGCCCACACTGAGTAGGGATAACACTCAAATATCAACTACCTATTAAACAATCCACTGCACTGTCTTCTGGCTATCGTCTCCTAGTTATTTTCTCGCCGTCTCCACTGATGGCCCCACATCATCTGAAACATCAGAGGTAACTGAGTCTTAATTGGGTGCCTTTTTTCGTGTGCACTTTGGAGGTAATGGTTGGTGGCTAGTGGCTCATCACACGATAGGGGTTGGTGTGGGTTAATATATTCAGGGTTGGTGAATCATCACCAGTTTTAGCAGCAACAGCATCATCATTATATTAATAATAATTTCCACCCATTATCATCAATCAACATTTATTATAATCGCAATATTATCATATTTATCTTTCGAACCATTATCACTGTTATAATTATCATGACTGTTATCATCATATAATGATATTCAACCTCATCATCATTATCCTCATCATTGTTATTTATCGATTTAAAGCTTTCGTGACTGCAGGGATTCATCTTCTTGGTTCTTTCGGTAAAGTCATGTAGAAGGGAAATAATAAAATAATAAAAATAAAACATAATAAAATACAATTCTCACGACGTTTCGGCCACAACGCAAGCAGCCGTCCTAAGCCACCCACGATTAGCACAGTTGGCGACATAAGGTGTGACAGACGTTCAACATTCATTCGTCATACACATTAGCCTGTGATTACTGTCTGCACTCGTCCAGATGCTGCTTGACTATGGTGTTCAGTGCAAAATGGGGCTTTAGAATTTCCAGCTGATGGCTGACTTCTACAAAAGTGTGAAAACCAACTCTACATGAATCATGCCCCATGCTGAAGATTACTTCTTACATCTAACAAATTACTGTGTTTAATCGTATCAATTTAATTTAATTTCCACGAATAACAATTACTTTTTTCCCAACTGCCTGGATATTTGCAGATGGATTAATATTCCTCAATTGCTAAGTAATGACCACACAGCAATTTAGTTATCCTTTAACATAAAGACAGGTCTGGCCTATATAGCAAGGGGTCAGTGTTGGAAGTTCAATTGGAGTACTGTTAAGGTCAACGTTTGAAGAACAGGTTGAGGCATTTCCGGAGTTGAGGTTGGGTATTCCTGTAAATTAACTTCAATGGGCGTAGTTTTGGGGTGACTGCCTATGAGTGCTTCACTTATAAACCTGTGCAGTCACTTGTATAGAAATGTTCCACGGCGAATTATGACACAGAACTCTTTCTTAAAAATAAGAATTGCACTGTGAAGGTGAACCCCCTCCCTCCCAAGTTCCCCACCATGCAGTTTCAAGCAAACATTATTCAATAAAAAAACACATTAAAATAATAATTTAAAAAAACTGCCACTGATAACAGTAAGAAATAACCCCACAATGATAGTTAATGCATTACAGCTGAATGTTTTTCTTGTTTAGAAGGACATTCATAAATAATATGGTGAGTCTGCTTATTACTGTATTATTAAGGCCAATCACATGTGTGAACACCTATCTCCAGCTACCTGGGTGTAAAGGATATTTAATGGAAAGTGTCGTCCTTGAGAAGAGAAATTGGCCTTGGTTTTTCAACTTAATGTTTATTATTATTGATGATTCCAGAGATTTTCACAACATTGCCTGTAAGCCAAGGTGTACTGTTGTCATATCCAAATTAAGCACCAGCAATTAACTGCAAATCACTTATAAATTAGATGTTAAATTTAGCTTTGTTTTGACGTCGGTGCTTGAATAACACAGAGCTAGGTTAATGTGTGTTCATATTCTCATTCTTATTTCTCTACATTGGGCTGCATTCTCCTGTACAATCTTAGAACTTAAAAAATTACCTTAATCGTTTTACTTCTGAAATCAATGTTTATTATTTTAGTCGTTGTAGTTTCTCTCTTTTAGTTGACATGCATTACAGTGTAAATAAGGATAAGACTAATTAATTTGGTTGCTCAAGTTCAAGTTTTCTTTACTTAACCAGGTGAGGAACTCAAGAAACCAGGTGTGTCTCATTTGCAAGAGTGACCTGGTTGACCAAAATTACACGAACCCACCATGGGTGATCAAATGTAATGTATATTACACTCTTCAGTTTCACACTTTAATGCTACTGTTAGTGGAATATCATGAATATCTTTAACACTGCAGTAGGAGTAATGGCTTCACATTACTCTCGGTATCCAATTTTCATCATGCAAATTAGAACCTGCTCTCGTTTGCCTCTTTATGTTATAATGTTTATTCCATCCGACCTTCGATTCAGTAAGTACCATAGTAGGCATACATATTGTGACATGTTTTCCGGATATGTCCCCTTAATATTTTTTGGGTTTTGAACAATTCTTGTACGTGTCTGTTGTTCTGTTAACCCAAATTGCCTTCTTCTTTGTAAAACTCTTCAGGTGTTTCCTGCGGTTAATTTTCATTGATTGTTGTAATGTTGTTCATTGGTTGTTATAAAAAGTTACAAAGCAAATCTGAGGCCATTAAAACTTTCTCCATTTATGAGTATTCATAGATTCTCTATCATTCCACAATTTACGTATTTTATTTCTATGTAAGCATTTTGTAAATACGGGTGTTCAATTTATTTCAACAGCTGATACCAGGTCATTGAAGATTTCCACATTTATTCTATCTGGTCTGTAAGGTTTCCTATTTTTTAAACTGAAAATTTCAGTGGTTACTTCTTCAAGCATAATATCCAAAATATTATCTTCCTCATTTGAAAATATATTTTTTCTTGGGGTTTATGATATGTATTGTGTATTTGCTATAGAGACCTGCATAACATTCCTCCACTGGTTTTATGATTTTGTCTCTATCATTCGTTACGGTTTAATCTTGCTCTCGAAGGGGCTACCAATTGTGATTTACAATTCATAAATTAACTTTTTGCTGCTTTTGTGCTCCCATTCTTTATTATGAGGCCTTCAATCACTTTTATGTTGTGTTCACAGATTTCTACTCTCAATATTTTCCCAATGGTTTTACAATGTCCTGTGTACTCTGTCTTTCGTTGTGCCACTTGAAACAAGAACCACAATTTACTGATGAATAAAACAACTAGACTCATGAACAAGTTATTGGGCAATTAAGAGAACATGTTATTACGTATTATTATCATTATGTTTACTCCGGAATGCCTCACTGACTCTTTCAGGAGGGTCCTGTCAAGTTATCGCAGGAAGAGGCCATGTCACTTAGTGTGATCCCAATTGAGTAATTTGCAGGTGATCACTTAGCATTGGGATGTTTGGC